TAGTCCTTTTTTGCCATATTCATAATAAAGTAATAATAATAATAATAATAGCTATATTTGCTTATACTAATTTTTTACTTGGATTATAAAGATGGATTTGTATGGATATGATTTGTACGGATTCACATGCATGTGAATTTTGATTGTGAAGCCAATTTTATTTTTTTAAAGATTTTATTAATTTATGTATGAGAGATGCAGAGAGACTGGCAGAGACATAGGCCGAGGGAGAAGCAGTCTATTCGTTGGGAGCCTGATGCACGACTCAATCCCAGGACCCAGGACCCTGGGATCACGCCCTGAGCCAAAGGCATATGCTCAGCCACTGAGCCACCCAGGTGTCCTGTGAAGCCAACTTTAATATTTCATTCTATGAACTTAGATCCTAACAAGCCTACACATTCAGACACATAGTCACGGCTGCAGACATACTTGTTTCCTTTCTTGCCACACTTAATATTAACTAATATCTTCTTTTATTTAGAAAAGGAAAGGAAGAAAGAAGAAAGAAAAGATCCTTTGAAAAGGCAAGAGGGAAGGGAGATTGCTTTGCCATGTTTCTTTCCTGTGTGTTACTCCCTCTTGGAGACATCTGTCACTGGCTTTTGCTCACCCCTCTGGAAATGCTGCTGCCACCAAGCCACAGGAAGACTGCCTTCTTATGGGCAGAAATGCTTCCCCTGGGGCTGCAAGGCAAAGGAAACTAGCCTCTAGCTGAAGACCCATATCTGGGAACAGTGTGATCTCACCCTTCTGGATGGAGCACATTTTCTTCCTGGACCAAGCCACTTCTGCTTGGTCCCTGGCAACCCAGCTGAGTTAGAAAAAGAGAAATCTGCCTGATAAGTCTCATAGCTCAGGCCTCCAAGATATCAAAAATTAGGCTTATGCCAGTCTGTCTCAGTGTTCTAATAAGATAAATACTCCATGCAGTTCCCTGAGACATAAAATAGGCCTTTTGATTGACCTTTCCAAAGAGGCAGTTAAGACCTTCTGAAAACCTTTACAAACTGTGTAAGCATTCAGTGATTTCTTAGTTGGGTTTTTCCTTAAAAATGTCCTGTTTCTTATCAGTTTTAGATATTTTTCCAAGAACCCCAGGGAGATTTGCAGTGGGATAATCCAGTGTACATGGTAAAAATGAAACCACTATCACAAGGCTTATGAAGGGACAAATCAAGTATAATACAAGAAGCTCTAAAGAAAACAGGAAGATTTAGCATGTTAAAAAGAAAAACCACAGCAAGATGGCTTTGACCATCTCCACGCACTGACTCGGGGTTTATGCTCCTAAACAGAGCCCTATTCAGGTGAAAGAAAAACCCAACCACCACCAAGTTCTACTTTATTCTCCCTGATGGAAGAGGTTAAATTTTATCACTCTATGTGTCGTTTTCCCCCTGTACTCTCTTAGTACTTTTTCCATTCAAACATTGGAATAATAACCATATTTATTAAGCATCTTGGTTTCCTAATAAGGCAACTACAACTCATAAGGATTAAGTAGCTTTTCCAAATCACACAGCAAGTGAAAGGAGGAAAAAAAGGAATCTGGACATCACATAATACTAAAACATGTTCTTTCTTTCACCCCAGACTTGCATCAGGAAGAAAAAGATGATGCAGATGATTGTATTTGATTACAGTGTATTTATGGGAACTATATAGGGCAATATTCCATGGTCTTCTCCCCTGCCTGGCTCTGCTGTTAGCATAGGGATGGAGCTGAGCTGAGTATATAGGAAAGCTTCAAATGACAGAAGGTGGAGCCCACCGTCAGCCTACACTGTTGGAGAGTTTGCTACTTGGATTGAAATGAGATATTCAGATGTACTACGGAATATTAGAAATGTGAGAGTAGGGTGCAAAAACAAATTTAATAGCCTTAAAAGTGTCAAAGTGCCTAAAAACATAAAATGTATCAATAGGCAATGGTGTGCTGCTGCTAACTATTTAACAGCCAGACTTCTCAAAACCCAGCCCTGGTTTGTAGCATCTGCTGGTTTCCGTGGTGTGAACACTCACACCATGGCCTATTTTAAGTCACCAATGTGAGGCCACCAACTGCAGAGTTGCAAAGACAGGCACTGGAGCACGTCATGGTGTTGTATTTCCACCACGCACATATAATAGATGCGAGTAACCTCAGGAGCCTGGGAAACAATAGAATGCAAACAAAATAATCAGAGATAAGTTTTCAGTATTTAGTATTCATTACTTTCACCTTTAATATCTATTTTACTTGTGATTTCATATCATTTCATTTTTAATAATGACTGTTAACAACCAGCTCTCACAGATCCTACAGAGGTTAACACTGGCTCTGTGAGTCGGTGAAAACGGGCTCCAAACATGCCACTGCCTGTAGGGGTCCTGGCAAAGGACTCTTATTTTGGGGGACAGTGTTGGCCTGGGGACTGTGTATCTGTGCCAGAGTTGGGTGGGCAAGTAAGAACAGCTGCACACACACCTTAACAACATCTTAGACTCCAGCAGCATCTACACAAGCCTATCATCCCACCCAGCATGGCGTGAGACCCTCTGGGTTCCTGCAGACCCCAAGAGGAATTAAAGCTGGTTTTGCTTAAGGATAAGCAAAATTAATGTCCTACTCTTGAGGCTTCCTAGGGCTCAGCTCTCTGCCGCATCTCTACTCCTGGACTATAGTTGAAACTCCTTTGACTCTCTCCCCTCACAATTAGACATAAAAGATTAAAAATATAAACACCTGGTTGAGGTCTGCCTGAAATCCATTCATGTCTAGAGAAAGGGGACCAAAGGAGAGAGGAGAGGCTGGGATGGGAAAGTAATTGGGGCATTTCACGACTGGCCTATGGTCAGTCTTGTTTTCCTTCAGCTGGCACGAACAAGCGCCAGCTGTGCACTGAGGTGCTTTTGCCATGGAGGCACCCACGTGCTGCTTGATGCAGGAAGTTATTATCTGGGGTTGGGGTCAGACAGGCATAGACTGGAATCTCGTTTTCTTGGACACAATACTTAACCTCTTTAAACACATACAAATCCTCCTATGCAAAAGGAGACACTAGCACCCACTTCAGGACTGATGTGAAGAAATCTAGCAAAGGGGGAGTACCTGGGTTACCATAAATTTTTGAAACACGTAGCTATTGTTGTTATTTTAATATGGTCAGGTGTACAGTGATGCTTATTATGAAATCCACCCATCAGAGCATCTTGATACTAAAAAAAAAGTTGTGATGAACAGTAATCCATGGCTTTAATTAATAAAGGAAAGAGGCTATCGCTTGCCCCAACATACACATACTAAAAATATGGAATCTGGGGGTGCCTGGGTGACTCAGTCGGTTAAGTGTCTGGGTTAGGTTCCCTCTCCTGCTACTCCCCCCCCTCCACTCATGCATGTTCTTTCTGTCTGTCTCTCTGCTCTCTCTCTCTCAAATAAATAAATACAATCTTTAAAAAAATAATAAAAAGATGGAATCTGTTGGCAATTATTTCTAGTGCTCTAACACAACCACAAAGGCAAACCACAAAATGTGTTTAACTCACTTGATTTAAAGCAAATCACATGAAGATAAGCATGCCACAACTTTTATAGGCTCCTAAAATAATGTGACCTGTTTCCTCACATGTTGGGTGAATACCACCTTAGAGGAGGAGAGTTAAGTTCATTGGGGAGGGTGTGCTACTCTAGCATGTGTTTTTCCCTACTATGCATTTACATTTGCATTTATAAATTTTTAAATTTCATTTATATACATTTTATGATTTTATTTATTTATTTGAGAGAGAGAGAGAACACAAGTTCTCTCTTGGTAGGGATTGGTAGGCAGAGGGAGATGGAAAAGAGAGGGAGAGCAGAGCAGAGCAGGGAGCCCAATGTGGGGCTCTATCCTAGGACCCTGGGATCATGACCTAAGCCAAAGGTAGCTGCCTAACTGAATGAGCCAACCAGGTGCCCGTTTTTTATTTTTTAATTTTAGTTTTAAAATTTTTCATTCCAGTATAATTAATATAGTGTTACATTAGCGTCAGGTGTACATGACAGTGACTCAGCAATTCTATACATTACTCAGTGCCCATCATTGAACTTAACTTTTTGCAGCAATGCCTCCCTTAAGCAAACAGTACGTTGCCAGCACTTCCCTCCCTCTGATCGTGGGCAGTAGCTTTTCCATGCACCATTTGCAGGTGACTGAGTACTAGGTGGGGGCTTGAGGTTTACCAGGAGTGACAGGAGGTACCTGAGGGTGCTAGTGGATAAGCCCCACATATCCACATGGGACTGCTCCAGGCAGTCTGGGGGAGCAGCCCTAATGAGCCTCTCTCCTCTTCTAAAAATGTGAAAAATGAAAGTCAGAGGCCTGCACAGTTCCTGGGGGGCATCCTGAGCCATGTGGCAATCTCGGAAGCCCAGGATTAAGAAATGCTGTACCAGGACTTTCTATCCAGGAGGTGGAAGAGAGAAGCATAGAGTGGTTTTTGTTTTCAGTGTGGTTCAAGGACCTCAAAATTGAGGAAGTCGTAGCACAAAGCAATTAATAAAAACATCATAGAGATCACACAGAGCAATGCAATTTAAGCATTTGAAAGACCTCAATTTTAGCTTTCTGCACAAGAGGAGAGCTGATTCACACACAGGCCCAATTGACACACAGCCCTCATAGACAGTGGCCACAGCGGAGAGTGTTCCGGAACTTCCCTCCCTTCCCAGGGCAGCTGGGGGATTTTTCTCCCCTTCCCCCCACGTGAGGTCTCCATCTCAGCCTCAGGCCCCATTTCCCCTGTTCAGTTGCTGTTCCCACTTTGCATAGTGCTGACAAAAGTCAATGAGCACAGGGGCCCAAAAGGTGAGGCAAAGGCGAAAGGAATGAGGAGGACAGAGAAATTGTCCCTTTCATCCTTGGCTGCACTTCTCAGCCAAGAGTCCGGGGGAGAATCTGCAGGGGAGAGGGCTGCCAGAGTGGAGGGCATGGCCTGGCACACAGAGGTGCCATGAGGGCATCATAGATACTTACCCCTTATTCCTTCAGGCAGTCAGATGTGGGCCAGGGGCTCCAGGGCCTGTTGCCTCTGCAATTTCATCTGGGATGGGTGCTGCTGGGGCAGAGCAGAATTTAATGCTGTGCCATGTGTCCTCTATAGGTCGAAGGGACATCCCTAATCCACCTCCAGATGGTGAATGCGGCCAAGCAGGTCTGTCAATCAGCAGCTGCCGTGACTCAGGCCCTACTGCAGGAAAGGGTTTGTTTCAGGTACCAGAGGAGCACGGCCAAAGGCCACTGACAGCTAGGGGTAGGGCAAGAGGTAGGCCTGGTGGTCCCTGAGCAGAGGGAGTCAGCCCTGAATCTCCTCCTCCACTGGCTACTTCATCCTTTGTGTTGATGTGTCCTTTTAGTGCTGTCCAAGCTAACTGCTGTTAACAGAAGCTTTGTCATTTTGAAAGCCTTACTATGAAAAGGTCCGATTATAATTGAAATCCACACACATTAGCATAAGAAACTTACATATGCCCAAGAAAGAAAACGAGCTACTAGATTTTTTAAACAGCATTTCAACTTTTTAAATTTTTGAAGATTATAATCATTCTTTTATTTTTAAAGATTATATTTATTTATGAGACAGAATGAGCACAAGGGCGGGGAGGGGCAGTGGGAGAAGCAGACTCCCCACTGAGCAGGGAGCCTGATGAGGGACTGGATCCCAGGACCCTGGGATGGAGACTTGAGCCAAAGGCAGATGCTTAACCAACTGAGCCACCCAGGTGCCTTATAATAATGATTCTAAATTTATTACCTGGGACGCCTGGGTGGCTCAGCGGTTGAGCGTCTGCCTTTGGAGTCCCAGGATCGAGTCCCACATCAGGCTCCCTGCATGAAGCCTGCTTCTCTCTCTGCCTGTATCTCTGCCTCTCTGTGTGTGTCTCTCATGAATAAATAAATAAAATCTAAAAAAAGAAAAAAAAAGTCAAAAAAATAAATTTATTACCCACATGTCTGCCTGTACAGTGTCTCATCTGAAGGTTTTTCTCAGAAATTTGTACAAATCATTATTCAAACAACTTAATTGGTAAATATGTATAGTTGTTACAACAAGCACCTACAGAAAAAAGTTATGCTCATGAAGTCACCCTCAAGTTCCTTTTAACTTTAAAAGTATCTTATTTAGGGGCACATGGGTGGCCCAGTCAGATAGGTGTCCAACTCCTGATTTTGGCCCAGGTCATGATCTCAGGGTTGTGAATTGGAGCCCTCCCCCCCCCCCCCGTGTGGGGGCTACATGCTGGGCCCCACCCCCGCATCATGCATGCTTTCTCCCTCTAAAAAACAAAACAGAACTTATTTAAAGCTGTATTCGAATTCAGTATTTAAATATTGCCCTCAAAAACTTCATATTTTACGGTTATAATTTAAGAAAAGGAAACAATTTTTTTCCCAAGCTACATATAGGTGTCCCTTAACTTATTCCAGTATTTTCTAAGCATTATATTTTATGACTACAAAAAACACTGGAAAGCAGTGTCTCATATTCTGTTCATTAGCATAGAGCCCCATTTGGGGTTACCTAAGATCAGTGTTCTGCCCCCTGACCTACCCAGTTTTTTTTTAAATTTTTTTCTCTTAATTTTTATTTATTTATGATAGTCACGGGGGGAGAGAGAGAGGCAGAGACACAGGCAGAGGGAGAAGCAGGCTCCACGCACCGGGATCCCGATGTGGGATTCGATCCCGGGTCTCCAGGATCGCGCCCTGGGCCAAAGGCAGGCGCCAAACCGCTGCGCCACCCAGGGATCCCCCTACCCACTGTTACTCATTTCGTTTCCATGAGTAAATGAGATCTGATCTGCAAACTACAGTTTACGAACCCATTATCATGTCAACCTGTAGGTGGAGAAAACCTCAAGTAAACTGCAACTGGTTGCGACTCAGTTTTAAAGTGCATTTTGTTGGCTGCAGAACAGCTTCAAAGGAGCTGTTTTGTAATGCACTTCATAATGGCTCCTTGAGTAACTCTCCTGTGGTTGTGCCCACACTGGCTCAGGTGGTTTCTGCTCGGCAAGGTGAAACCTCACTTTCCTAGCAAGCTCCTAAAAAAGCAGGATTGCTCTTGCAAGTCTGTTGCAACACAAAGTCCCGACCAAGTAAAACGTTAGCCTGCAACCTTTTTCTTTCTGCTCCGTTGTTCATCTCGTCTCTTCCAGGACACCACATCCAATTTTTGTTGGGCTTATAAAAAAAAGTTTTTTTACATTAAACTTCCCCTTAATTCCCTCCCACCCCATATGAAATCTGCTATCGAGTACGTCTTGAACAGCCAGAGAACCCTGCTGAGGCAGCCGTCTCACCAGCTCCCTAAACTGCAGCTGTATTCGGGAGACCTCTTTGTAGGAAATAAGGCTAATACTTAGTTCCCAGAAGATGAGGTGTGGTTGTGATGAGCTCATTCTACTGGGTGGAGGCGGGACTGGTTCCATGTTTCTATTTTTAAGATGTTTATAAAGATCATCCCTTGTTGCTCAAAGACAACAGAGGAGGGAGAGACGTCTCTCACGTTACCATTAGGGACAACAAGGCGACAACCCGGCTTCCAGAGAAGAGGCCAGAGCCTTTTAGACTTCAGTTTTCTGCGCACGTTGCCTCTCCCCGGCCGGAGCTGCAGAGTTGGTCCCTCCCTCCCTCCCGGACCAGAAAAGCCCCGGCGCTCGGAAAGGTTTCTCTCCTCCCGCTGCTGGGGACGCCCTCCCCGCCCGCCACCCCCTAGACCTCCTGGACGGTTCCAGGGCTGGGCATGCATCCGCGTCATTCACGTCACAGCACTCCAATAGCTAAAATCATTCGGGGGTGGCAATTTCGTGCCGACTCAGTCCGCGCCGGCCGTTTTATTTGCTAGTTGGGGCTCACTTTTGCTGATGGGCTCGGCTGCTTGCCCAGCCTGCCCCGAGGCACCCAGGAATCACAGACTGGAGTTACGGTCCCACCAGGAGGGCCCTGCGCCTCACCTGAGCTAGCCTGGGTCTGCGAGCAGTTTTCATATGCCTTCTTAGGCTCGGAACAGCAGCTCACTTTCCACAGAAGAGACAGGGAAAGCTCTAGAGCGGGTCCGACGCCGTTTCGAAAGCGCGGGGGCGGAATGAGAGTGGGTACTGGAAAGGACTGGGCGCCGACTCAGAGCTGTGGGACACTTGGACCTAGGCTCAGCCCGGGACGCCCCGCCGTCCGCTCGGCGAGACCCAGAGACTCTCGGGCTCCCCGGGCTGCCCTGCACAATGTCTGGCCGCAGTAGGTGTAGGAGACGAGCGAAGTATTGAGGGGCGCGGGGGTGGGGAGTTGCAAGTCAGTTCTTGGCACTGCCCAGCAGAGTGGATTTCGTGAACGGAGGCGCTTTCCTTTCCCCCCCCTACAACTCGCTTCCTGTTTCACCTGGAGGAAACAATTTCCACTCAAGAAGGAAGAGTGCTGTAAACAAAACTTTGATCTTCCCAAGCGCTGCAGAAAACCCCAGACTCGCAGCCGGGCTTAGGAAGGGGAGGTCCGTAATGGGACAGCGCCACCAAATAACCCGCTCCAAGAAAGGCTGCAGGGAACAAAACCAGGTTTTGCCGGCGGAGTACACTGGCCCGTCTCCAGGTGCTCCTCGCCCCGCGGCGTCCTCTCGCAAGCCTGTCACTGGGAGGCCGCCTGCGTGCGGACCGCAGGCCGAGGCGCCCACCGCGCTGCCCACCCGCCGTCGGGCGCTAGGACGCGCGCGGTTCTGGGGCAAGACCCCCGGGGCGGGGGGGGGTGGGCGCAGGACCGGGCCGGGCCGCTCGTCCCCCGCGTCCCGGGGCCCCCGAGTACGCGCGGGCGCTAGCTCCTTAGGAAGCACCTCCTCTTCCCGGGACTCGGAAGGGGTGCGGGCGCCTGACACCGCCAGGGCGTCGGGGCCGCAGGTCCTAGGTGTCCGAGCCCCGGGACTCGAGCCACGGCCGCTGTCCCCGGGGCCCCGGCTCCCGGCTCCCGGCTCCCGCGCTCGGCCCGCGCCCCTCCCCGCGCCGCGCTCGGCTCCGCCCGGGCCCCGCCTTCCGCTCCGCCCCGGCGCCCGGAGGACAAACGGGGGGGCGGGCGGGGGGGACGGAATTTCCCAGAGCGGGGGCTCCTGCTTCCCCGCAACGCGGCAGTCTCTTTCTGTTTACGGAGTGAAAGGGGAAATGGAAAAGGCGGGGAGGCGGCGGCTGGCGTCCGCTGCGCCGCCCCTCGAGCGGCTCAGACGCCGTGAGTCAGGGGCGGACGCGGGCGGCCTGGGCGGAAGGTCCGGGCTGCGGGCCCGGTGCTCCCTGGGGCGCTCGGGTCGGGACGACGCGCCACGCTCCGGGACCGGTGGCCCTGGCTGCGGCTTCTGCAGCCGCCGGACCTCGCCGTCCCCGCGCGCCAGGCTCCGTCGGGGGGCCGCGGCTGCAGCGCTCGGCCCGCCAGGTAACCCTCCCTTCCCGGGCTTCGGGGTGTCTCGGTGGTCGCAGCCCTCCGGGGTGCCCCGGCGGTCCCCGGCCGGGGGGCGAGCCCGCCGCCCGCGCTGCGGAGCTTCGGCGCCTGGCGCGCGCCGCGGGCGCAGCCGGCACGGCTGGAAAGCACCTTGCGCAAGGGTCTCACGGGGTGCGGGCTCCGGCTCCTCCCCCTTCCTCCTCCTTCCCGGATCCCTAGCGCGCGAGCAGCGCCGGGCTGGGCAGTGCGCGGGGCCCCGGAGACCCGCCGTGACCGCGACCCGCCGCGCGCACCGCCCGGACCGTGGCACTGTCTCCGCGGACGCCGGTGAGCCCAGCCGCCGCCCACCCAAACCGTGGGGGCTTTTCCAACTCGCAAGCCCTGGTCGGCTTCCTTGCTTTAAAGAGTAATAGGAGGGGAGTGAGGGTGGCGGCTGGCGGAGCCGAGAACCTTCCGAAGAGATGAAACTTGATTTCGAGCTTATGTAACCCGGGCGCTATCCTGCCGCTAAGGGGTCGTTATGGCAGAACGTGAGGGCTGGGCTTTCAGTCTAGGACAGAATGTTAGGGGGGGAAGGTTATTTCACGGGTGTTTCTCGGTGGTAATACGATATCAGGACTCTGAAATCCCAGATCGGGGCGGGGGACGACGCGTAGAAAGAGCGGGGTGCGCAGGGATTGCCCCGAAAGTTAACCAGGAAGGCAGGAGCTGTCTTTAAGAGAAATGGCTATTTCACTTGTGGAAAGACGTTTTGGCACGGAATAAGGAACCGTTCCTAATGAAAAAGAGGGAAAGAAACCCCAATGTAGTCGCGTTAGGTATCTGTGGCCTGTGTCTCCTGTATTTGCCGAGTGGACTATAATCTGAATCCAGCAGACGCCCCCAGCTCTCTGAGGGGTCGAGGTTTGTATGCAGGACTTCTGGCGGCTAGCTGGCCCCTGGGGACTTTTTCTTATAAGGAAAATTGGATAGTTGAGGTGTCTAGAAGTTTTGAAGCAGAGTGACTGTGTTCCTACACAGCTAGAATGTGTAATTCTGGGGCTTTTGGAGAAAAAATGTAATAAGAGATATGCCCCGAGGGGATAGTGTACTGTTTTGGCAGAAAAATCTTTTAAGTGAGAAGCAACAGGAGGTATAATTATCCTTTGTTAGGCAGAGGTTTATATCTATAATCTTGGCCTTTTTTTTTTTTTTTGTTCACGCTTGCTAGGAATTTCTCCACTTTTGTTTATGTAAATGGAAGTAGCCAAGAGTGTAACATTAATCCTTAGGAATAGGGTTGCCTGCCTCTTGGTCTTATTGTTGATTTCTGAAATAATTCGAAGCAAATACTTTTAACGATCTCTGCCCATTTCTAAGATGGTTGTAGTTGTCTGACTCCATTGACAGGTGGGGATTTGATGAGGATTTTTATTGTAAACTAGGAGGGAAGAGTCTGTTGGTCAAGTAGAACACCTTCGCGGTCCCCAGTTTTTCTAGATGGGTACTGATCGGTATAAATCAGAAATCACTAGCATATTGTCTACTCAATTAAGGCTGGAAGTGCTGAGGCTTTCTGCAGGGACACTTAGCAGGCTGCCTGGTCATCTGGGTTGCTGGGGTGCACTGATTTGTGTGACAGGAGCCCTGCTGTTGCTAAGGAATTATTCCTGGCATCCTGTCATATACTCCTCCACCTCCCCTGGCGCCCTCCTCTCCACTCTCCTCTTTTCTCCTCCCTTTCCCTCTTTTTCCCTCCCTTTCCTTCTTTGCCCCTCCCCTCCTCCCCCCCCCTTCCTTCCTCTCTCCCTCAACACACAACTTAGGGGTGTATGTGTTCAGACCTCTTAGGCTTCCCATATAAATGCTCCAGACTTTCTGCAGAATTTTAAAATCAAGGCATATCTTTCCTCTCTGGATCAGTTGACTGACTTGTAAACTGTGCGGACTTTTCTTTCTTTCTTTCTTTCTTTCTTTCTTTCTTTCTTTCTTTCTTTCTTTCTCTTTCTTTCTTTCTTTCTTTAGTCATGTTACTACTGAGAACTTTATTTTCTCTCCAGTCAGCCATTAGCTAAGTCTAGGAGCCTTGGAACTTTTCAGCCAGTGGGGTCCTCCGAGGCTGGTTTTTTTTTTTTTTTGTTTTGTTTTAACTTCCCTTTCTCAGTAAATTCTATAAGCAGAAACTGCAACTGAATGGGCCAACGAAATCAGAGGTGAATGCTCCTCTGTTAACCTAAGAAATGACTTTCCTAACTCAAGACTCCAGGAGCCTGAATTGTAGGTTCCCTCAAAGATGCAGGAGATCTCTGAGGGGAGCTTCCTGTGCTCTCTAGATGTAACTGTGATTAGCAGCTTTCGGAACATCTCAGAGATTTTGGCCTTTATTTTCTTTGTCTTTTATTCTAGATACAGCCTTTAAAGCTTTACTGTGAAGAAGCCCAGGGAACAAGTAGCCACAGCCCATTTGCAGATAAGAGAAGAGGCCTAAGCAGTATCTGCAAAGCCAGGAGTGTGACTCAGTACTGCTCTCTTTTGTGCACATACCATCAACTGCATGCGGCAGAGCCTTTTGACTATGCACCAGGCACCTTACGTACCTGAAATTCTTTAAACCTCACAACCCCCCTATGCGGTAGGTGCTCTTGTACTTCCATTTCACATCTAGGGGAAGCAGAGGTGCAGAGTGGGTAAGGTGCCTTCCCAGGATCATGTAGGCAGTAAAGGAGGGCCTGGGATGCAAGATAGCGTGCTTTCTGCAGATACAACTTGGACATCAGAAAATGGCCATCAAGTAAGTGAATAGTGTCACTAGATTGCCTGGGTCTTTTCTCAAATGAAATTCACTCAAGGCCCAAGGTAGGGTGGTGGAGTCCTGAGTTGCAGGTGGAACACTTCCTGGAGCTTTGTTCCTGAGCTCCAGTTTGAGGGAGGCCTGTGGCTTTTAGCACTGAGCATTGAATATTGAATGTGTTAAAGGTTTGTGCTTTCAGGAATCAGAAACATCTTCCAGAGAGGCTTTTGGGAGCACAATAGTTTAAGCAGACATTCATGTCTTTGAATTTTCTTAGATGTCCCAAATCCTTTTATCTTTAATCCTCTGGAAGGAGTTGTTCTAAAGTCACAGGTAACAGCATCATCTTTTACCCTGGGTTTACCTTCTTTTTCTCATTTACAGCTCCCAAGATGAATCACCTGATTTGCATATAAGAACTAAAGTAACAGTATTGGCTACTGTACTTAGCTCTGGCCCTACCTGTGTCTTGTAGGATATGTTCAGCTTTCCTGGCCTCTTTGTAATACCACAATTTCTAGAGGGTGATTGATCTAAATATTAGATTAGCTTTCTTGGGCCATTGAGATACATGTTTGTACCATTAAAGAATTCAGGTCTCAAGAGGAGACAGCTGATTCACAGGCTAAAAGAATCTTCCCATTTCTCATAGGTTTCCAGGGGGCAGATTTGAGGCTTGTGGTCCCCAGTCTAAGTGAGCTGTTTTGTTCATTTGCATCAGAATTATTCCTGAAACTTGACCTCTCTCTCATCATCTGTTTGCATAGATTAGAATCCATTTTACAGGCTTTAGGTTCCAGGGCCTGAATTTTCTTTGCCAAGGGATCTCCTGAATTGGATAAAATAGTTCTTTTTCTTTAAAGTCACCTAAGGCAAGAGGTCTGGGCGGGGAGGGTTGCCCCCTGGGGTGGTTGGTGGGGAGGGGGGGAGCAGTGGGGTCAGAAAGTGTTAAGGGCCAGGAGCCTCTGCTTCTCAGGTTTCTGCGTTGCTCCTATTTGTGTTTACGTTTAGTGAAGTTTGTTTTCAGTGGCTATAGCTGATGCCTTCAGATCAGTGAGTGAGTGAGTA